GGGTTGCTGAACCTGGGGGGTGCTGGCGTTGTGGGTGCTGGACTAGGGGTGCTGGTTCCATGGGTGCTGGGAACACCCAGGGCCAGATCCAGGCAGAGCAGAGCTGTGCGGAGCTATGGGAGCTGGGGGGTGGGAGGGGGGCAGGGGGGGTGACAGCGACCGGGGAGAAGGTGGTGACAGTCCTGTCCCCTCCCTGCAGGGCCAGATCCAGCGCACGGTGCTGGGCCGGGCGGAGCAGACCTGCGCGGGGCTGCGGGAGCAGCTGCGGCTGGCGGCGGCGCAGAGCAAGGGGCTGCAGGCGCAGCTCAGCGAGAGCCACCGCAAACATGCTGAGGCCCAGTGCAAGGTGGGATGCTTGGGGACACCTTGGGGACAACCCCGAGCCCTCCTCTGTCACCTCCCTGGGGGCACCCGTGGGTGCTCACCATCCCCTCCCCAGGAGTATCTCTGTCCCCTCCCCTGGGGCACCCACAGACCCTCCTCAGGGGCACCCGCAGACCCTCCCTTGTCCCCTCCTGGTGGGGACACGGCTGTCCCCTCACCAGGGACACCAACAGCCTTTCCCCTGGGGTCACCGTGTCCACTTCTGGAGGGCCACCATGTCCCCTCCAATGGGGTCAGTGTATCACCTCTGAGAGGGTCCCAATGTCACCTCCCACAGGGTCCCCATGTCCCCTCCAGCAGCATCCTATCACTCCCTCCAATGGTGTCCCCTTGTCTCCTCCACCAGGGTCCCCACGTCCCCTCAAAAGGGGTCAATGTGTCACCTCTGAGAGGGTCTCGATGTCCCCTCCCATGGTGTCCCCATATCCCCTCCAATGGGGTGCCAGTGTCCCCTCCCACAGGGTCCCCATGTCTCCTCCAACAGGAACCCCATGTCCCCTCCTGTGGGGTCCCAGTGTCCCCTCCTATAGTGTCCTCACGTCCCCTCCACCGGCCTTCCCTTGTCCCTGGGGACTTGGGGGGGGACTGGAGCCTCCCCTGGTTGGGCGGGGGTGACACAGGGGTGGCACTGGTGTGGCACCGGCTGACACGGATGTCCCCAGAGCAAGGAGGAGGTGATGGCAGTGCGGCTGCGCGAGGCCGACAGCATGGCAGCCCTGGCCGAGATGCGACAGCGCGTCGCCGAGCTGGAGATCCAGGTGAGCGGGGACGAGGGGATGGGGTGGAGGGGGACGAGGCG